ACGAAATAAAAATTTCGTTTTAAAAACATTCAAGAAGAGAGAGTCTGTATTTTTCAGTTCTTTCTGAATACATATTATGTATGTATGTCTTACGATAAACAAAGATTTGCAAATCTTACAGGATCCAATCATTTCAAAGAACATCAAGATAAACCGGTATGAAATGATGGGCCGGTTGGTGAAATGGTAGTAATATATGGCTAACAACGTGTCGTGGTTTCGATCCCCGGGGGTCCAACCCTTTTCTAATCAATTTTTTTCTAAATATTTTGGACTTCATCTGGAAATCTGGATATTATGCTGGTGGGTATATCGAAATTCGGCCCGGGGTATGAACCACCATTAAAATGACCCGTTAAGTTTAATTGCGCTTCGGTTTTCGAGTGTAGACTTACGTATATCCGAAGCCAAAATATTAAAGTTCGACGGCGCAACTTATGTAGTTGTTACATGGCTGGAGTATTTCAATTTTCAACTCCCACGCAAGACAAGGTCATGCTTGTCTGTTCTATCCTATCATTAAAAAAGATAACCAGATATACTCTCGCAACGACGAAAACAGAACTTGCCAATAGACCAACGAACGGTCAAACGAATTTTGTGTGATAGGTTTATGGAGGGCACGTATCATCTAAATAATTATCCTTACTACATTTTTCGCTAGTCGAAATATCTGAGCGAAGAAAATGTTTCTCATACTTAGCGATCTCCATACAATAGACACGCTAGTTAATAACCAATCTTGTTAGACTACCAATCTTTACAGTAACGATCAGTTAGGCTTTCCATTTCCTAATGTACTTAAACAGTAAATAAGTACCGATTACAAGTTTTGTACACTACGATGTTTAGTAATATTAGTTTAAACTTAAATGATACATCAATATAATAATCCTATTATAATCGTAAGTCATGTCTATATATTATGTTTTCACGAACAGTTTACATTTTGACCTCCGTTCTCTTCTAACGTTTTTCCTACACCCTTTGATTGTTTTATGATTTCAGAGTGGCAAAAATATTGTTGTTGTTAACCGAAACATATGAAGACAAATAACACAGGTAAAAATTTGAATGTATACTTTTACCTTTATATGTATGGCATTAGTAGATTCTGTATTCCTTATTAAAAAAAAATATGTGTTTTTAATTATTAGAGGACACTTGGCAGTTCTTTAAGCGCTATAGGGCGTGGCTTTGAATGCCGACGGAATCTATATTAATATATAAAGCTAAAGAGTTTGTTTGTTTGTATGCTTTAACACGCTAAACTCAGGAACTACAGGTTCGAATTGAAAAATATTTTTGTGTTAAAGACGTATGTTGTATTTTTGTGTCTGAAGGCACATAATGACAAAACACAACTATAAAATATTTAAAATATTGCCCTGTGACAAATACAAGCGATGATTCAGCGAGAAATGTGAAAAAATTGAGAAAATTATTCATCATTATAGGTTTCCGAGGCGTACACTGCAAAAACGGTTCAAGATACCCATAAAATATGTATTAAAGAATGGTTCCTCTTTAAATGATCAAAAAAGAAGTCCGCGACGCTATACGTCTATCTTTTAAGATTACCTTGCAAGGGGAAGGGACGCAACATACGTCGTGGATAACAGCTTAAGTTTAAAAGAATGAAAAGGTTTGCAAAAACGAATTTGGATGGCCAAAATAACGATTAAATACGATGATAAGTCTACTTGCCCGACTTGTCTGTAAATAAAAGGGATTAGTGAAACGGACACAAAAATAAGGTATATTTTTGTGTCCGTTAAAAAGCTTTAAGTATAAACAGTGGTGATGTTTTGCGTTATGTAGGTTCGGTGCAACATTGTCTAAAATAAAAACCGGTCAAGTACTCTGTGGTCATGCGTTTGCGCTCAGTGGCTTTGTGAATAACAAGTACAGACTCGAAAACCACTTTTTACTTTCACTAGTGAGGCTTCAGTGTTTACCTCGATGTGAATGGGTAATCAGTGTGAAATAATTTTATTGCTGCATACTTACTTCACTAAGTAAATTGTTAATAAATTATCTCTTAATTGCTTTGAAAGCGAAAGATTTAAATTTACCCAATTATTTTTGAATTAGTTTTGTCTGTTATATTTATGTGTTTTTATTATATGGTAACATAAATTTAACAACAATAATAGCCTATTATTGTTTTTAAATACAACAACCACGCCATTTTTTAGAAAATAAAATATGTATTTTTATTTATTCGTCACTATATTATTATATTTTTTTATAAGCGTGTAACCTTATATTATGATATGTTAAGTTAATAAATGGATCACGAGCTATTATATTATGAATATCTGATATTCATTCAATAAATCAGTTTTTAAAAATACTAACAATTGAATATTTCATCAAAAATAATATGTTGTAGTTTAGCGCCATCTTCTGGATTCCTTCAGAACTATGCTGTCAATAATTTATTTCTTTACATAGACAACACGTGCGTCAATTATGATTAAAAATGATACTTACAATATAGTATAGATGTCACTAAAATAAACATTTCTTATAGTTGGCGTCGTTTCCTCTAGATGTCGTTAATCATCATAATAATACTTCTACAACACGATACTTTAGATATGGCTATTATAAGAAATTGCACTATTTTAATATAATATTTTTAAGCATTCATAAAAAATTCAGTGATAATTTTCCGAATGAAACGTAATTATAATATAGCTTTTAAGTCAAATAACAGTTTAAAATGATAATGTTTAAGCGTTGAAAAGTGGTATGAAAATAAACTTTATTAAATGCCACATATTTTTGTACTGATTTAATAATCACAATGTTATTAATGCAAAATCTTAAGTTATGTAGACTGTAACTCTACATAACTTAAGATTAATTAGAAAATTCATGCACCAACAGAATGAAGAAAACAAAAGAACAAAGTCGATACAACTTTAACACTGCAAGACCTCGTTGTGTTACTGGATAGCTCTGAACTTCAGGAAACACCCCTACTACGAACTTAATTAACCAGAGTTATGGAAAGCGATAGCCAGCTAAACCTTTTATCCTTTAATTTACTGTAAAATCAAATACATTCCTATGATACCCAATGCCAAAATCAACAGCAATATTCCAGTTAAACAAGATGTTTAGAGCATTTCATCTCACATGAAGTGTCGTGTTCCTTTGATTAAAATCATAATAACCATTCAAAACACTAAATTGTCTTCTTATACTATTGGTCAACTATTAATTCGTACTAGTTCTTGTGGGTTCAGTGGTGAATATTGGGCCAAAAACTCTTTGGAGGGTCTTCCTATGACATAGAAATTATTATTTTGATTACTTAACTAACCTAAATAACTCAAGAGGGTGAAAAATTAACGTTTTTTTTTTCATGTGTTAATATTATACGTGTAAAAATACTTATATAATTTTTTCACATGATATTGCACTATGATGGCACTATATGTATAGAGTAGATCAATTAGTTAGAGCAACAGCACAAAACGCTGAGGATGCCAATTCAAGCCCTGCCCGTGTCGTAAGTTGTTTTCAATCTAAAATCGATAATTTATAAAATCAGAGTATTGCATCATTTCCTATATACTGGAAGAAATTTCAGAATTTAATTTACAACACTAAAGCCTAATAATAAATTAACTACGTACTACAATTAGGCAAATTAGAGAGTAAAACGTTGACATTTAAATCCGTAGTTTCCATTGTCAGATTGAAATCGAGTTATAGCGGTGAAATATTCCATATAAGTTTGTTTGTTTGAACGCGCTAATCTCAGGAACTACGGGTTAAAATTGAAAAATTGTATTGTGTTGGTTAAATCATTTATCGAGGAAGGCTATAGGCTATAAAACATCGCGCTCTTACTTATATAAGCGAAGATACGGTTCTTAAAAAAGACTCTGTGTCAGAAAGAATGTGTGCTTTCAATTATCTAAAAAAAGTCCGCGACGCTATCTATATCTATCGGGAAGGGACACGATCGACGTCTTAGCTAGTAGCTTAAATTTATAAAGATGACGGGGTTTGCAAAACCTAATTATGATGCCCAAAATAACGATTCTCGCGGACGAAGTCGCTGGCACAGCTCGTATTCCACAAAATTACATTTGAACTAAGTCAATTGCATTGTTTATCGCGTTTTAAAGTGTATTAGTATACATAGAATATAAATTTGTAGTTTTCTTTGTTTGTCACTTAAATGCTCTAGCATTCAGAACAAAAATCTCATTCAAATAATTGTATTAACTTACTAAAATAGCATTGGAATTATTTTTACTCTAAATGTGGAGGCGTTGTTTGCAATGATCAATGATTTCTTAAAAGCTGTTCCATGTATTCAGGCACTAAGTGAAAGAAAACGCAATTAAAAGCATGTCTCTTTCAAGCTGGTAACACATATGGAGATAATATTTGCAATTTTCGATTCTTCTAATTAATGTGTAAAAGAGAATTAAAACTTTTTTCTAATCGATTACGGTGTTAGTTTTTCATTTTGTTGGAATGGAACCATTTGGAATTTTAACTCTAATATATTATTATATGCTTCTCGTTCTTGATATTTTTTATTGTATTATTATGTTTAGAGCATTTCCTCTTTAGCTAATTTGTTATCTCAAATGTGCAGAACGTACAGAATTAATTCCATTTAAATAACAGTAGGAATACCTTCGTATAAGACTCAAAAAGGTTTTTTTAACAAGAAAGTAATCTTTGAATGGAATAATATTTTATGATTCACTGGCATTTTGCCAAGTATGGTTTTGTTTAATAGGCCTTATGTTACAACATTACAATTCTATACATATAGAACAATTCCCTTGTTACGTGTAAGTAATGTATAGTTCATTTAAGTATTGAAATGCAATTTTAATATTATAATAATTTTCTATACTAAATAATCACAATTACAACATGTGTCCTAGGCTTTACAATAGCTTATGCCCGTTGACCCGACACGGTCCGTTACTAGAAACAGTGGACTGCAGTAAGAGGACAACATGTTTGCGAGCACTCTCCTCGGATTGCTATTGGTAAGTTTTCAAGCTGTTTTTAAATTAATCTTTTACTAAACTAGGCGTATGTTTATTAAATAGATTCTAAGCTTTTCTAATACATTTGACACATTTTATTTAAGTATATTATTAAAGTTAAATTAGTCTCTTAAAGTTATTTTTTTCTGTTAATTACATGAAGTTAGTATGGTTTTAGATCTGCAAATTTATTTTTAATATTTGTAATCTATGTAAAGTCAATAATATTTTGTATACTTCTATGTTTACAAGTACAAAGTGTTTCTGTGACTTCTCATGATTTTTTCTTAAACTATTTGTTTGGTTTCAGCTATCTTTCCTAGCTATCGTAAAAGCTCAAAGCATCACCGACAGTGGATGGCGACCCATATCAAGCGAAAAAGTCTTTACATCCAGAAGTTCCATTAAAACACCAGTAAATAGGAATTTCGAAGATGCGCGGCATCCGACTGAATTCACTGACGGCGAGAATATTAAATTTACTAATGCACGCGAAATGTATTATCGCAATATTTATCCTCCAGGATCCCATTTTAATGAAAAAGGTTAGAGTAAAAACGAATTACTATTGTCTTAATACTAACTTAATATTAACTTACTTATATAAACAAATATAATATTGTCTTTTAACGAAAAAAATTGTATATTCTAACCTTCTTTACTTCTTACAGAACTTGATCGCGATCCTGATGGTAATATAGATGAAAACAAAGTAATAAATGAAAATGAAGACAAACTCAGTTTTAACAGAAAAGCAAAAACGATTCCCTCACAATTTGTCAATAATGAGGTTATTAAAACAAGTGACATTAAACAAAATGACGACGTTAAAACCAACAATGAATACAAAGTTAACGAAGAAAACACAGACGTAACTGGAGAACAAAGCAACATAATTGTAAACGAAAACTATCAGACACATGAACGAAATCCAACGAAAGACTTTTTGAAGATACTCTCCAACTACAACATACGGAGCAGCGATAAACTACCAAACTATTCGCTATCTCTAAGGCAAAACAGCCGACATTCGCCTAGCAAAGATTTCATTTATATAAACGTGCCAATAAAACTGCCACTTTCGTATAACAGCCCAAACCATCTACTAGTTGACCCATTGATAGCAGTGTTATTATCAAACTATGGCTACTATCTGCCAGGATACTATGGCGTTAATGGTAAATATCAAAATCTGTACGGCTATTCGGCAGCTAATAACATTCATAATAACAAACCGTTTGGTTCTTATAAAATATTTTCTGATACTGATTCCTATAATGTGAACTACTAGAATTTAAATAAACGACATTTGTTTGTAATTTTAAGATTTTTGTGATGTGAACTAGTTATAGCTGAATACTTTTGTGAATCGGAATGTTTAAATGGTTATGGTATTATGGTATTGCTTCAATTTGTACCTCAATATATTTAAAATTGTCATCCACTTAGGTTATTTTTTGTTATGATAGAGGAGGAATTAATTGTAGGTAAAATACGCCAGCCATAGAACATCGCAAACAAGACGCGCTATCTGATGTATTTTGCCTTAGGATCTTTTTTTATTTAGGATTTATCCACAGATTAAAATCGAAACGCAATTACAATTGACGGCTTCTATCTGTGGACGTTGCTTCGTGACCCGGACGGAATTTCGATATTCCCCATTTAGAGTTGAAGATGAAAGATTAAACTTGTTTGATTTTTTTATTCATAAGCTAGTGAATTTAAACTGGCACTTAGTTTAATAACATCAAGAGCAGTCTACAAATAAAATTACAATGCGCTCTCTTAAATTTGAAATAGCTGGCAGATTCCACTCTTTGTTAAACGAATAGCGAATATTTTATTCGGCCGTATGTACTTGTTAGTCCTTGGATGTATTCCAGGATACTCCAGCATTACTATACACCAGTATCAGTGTTTGCATTTTTCTTGTTAGTGCGATAAGTGCCAAAAGATTTTTAACATAAAAGATTTTTGAAACCTTACTACGTTATATTATGAAGCACTCAATATTTATTATTCAATGTATGGCTTATAACCTATTGAATCTAACAAGATCCTATTCACATACTTTTTGTGGTTGTGGAATCATGTTGGATCTCGTTGGAAATCTGGATATTAAATGTGTAGGAACACCAACATTCTGTTCACGAACCACCATCACAGATGAAAAAGCTGTGAAGGTTAATCGCGTTTCATCAATCAATCAATCAATCCAATGCAAAAATAGGTCGACAGCGAAACTTGTTGGGTGTTATTGTTGCGAGCGTCGCCCTGTGATGCTGCAAAGCGTCCGTCGGCATAGGCAGAATAAATTAAAAATAAGTTAACCAATATATTTCGCGTTTTAAACCGTTAAACGTGTTTTATTTAAACATCTATATTACCTTTCCTCTAGGCTTTGCCCGACCAGCCTTCTTTCCTGAAAAGTTGGATCTCTATAATATAACGAAGAATTTTTACCATGTTTTTCTTACGTCGCCTTTCAAATTAAAAAGGATATATACTTTGTGAATGTCACATAACAGTAAATATTATGTCACCCAAGGCTGAGTCCTGTTTTATAGCGAGCGAAAGACCACAGCTTACACCTCTCGCCGAGTCGTTTCATGTGTGGTCCAGGTTTTATCAATAGCGGTGTAGCAATCAAAGGTCTGTCATTTTTAGTATTGTATCGTACGTTTCATCACTGCACCATCAATACAAAGAACGACGTTGAAAATAAATTATGGGAAAATCCGTCAAAATTATGCATACCATTGTTTTTCGGGCTGTTCGGCCGACGTGAGCGAGAAGAGGTTCTCGACGTTTCGCCGTCACTTGCAACGGCTTCATCAAGAGATATCACCTCTTCTAGTGTTCGAAGAATTAACCTGTCAACAAAATAATCAAAACAAAAAGTTTAATTAAAGAAACTGATGTGTTAAAAATCGCTAATCACTTCATACTTGGACCACACTGAGTGGTCCAGGGTGAGAATGGTAGTGTTTTATTGGTAGTTTATTGAGCGTGTTTCCCGCTTATACGACTACATGGTACGTTTGTTTACGATTAGTTTCCTTTTACAGGTAATATTTGCTTTTGTTCTATAAGCTACGCGAGATACAAGTTGAAATTCAATACGAAGTTCAGATGGATTTTCTGTTCAATATTTTCGGAAAGTAATTCCCATAACAAAGTTAATGAACAATTTTGAATTAAAGTTATAAGCGCGTTTTTAAGGGACATACAATAAAATTTAGTTCTTAAATAACGTACTTATTTATACTTAATTATTGTAACTATATGAAAGAAAATGAATTATTGTTTTATTTGTGATATTTTCTTTCCTAACATTTAGCTTATAAATACTTAAAGTATATTATAAATAGATTAAATACTTATCAAAAGCTTTGCAATTAAAACTTATTAATATTATTGTTTAGACTTCTTGTACTTGTATTTGTTAAATACATTTTGCGTTTGCGTTTATTAATGTTTGGCTTTGTGTTCCCTTGATTTCGCAAAACAAAAAAATCGCTTCGAATCCAGTTAACGTAGTGGCAGCCCGGAACAACTTTTCACGAAGAGTCATGATCTGTCACATTGTGGCCTAGATTGCCTGTAGCTGTAGCGACACCCGTAACTTACTGAAATAGGATTTCTCTGAAATCTGCTCCCTATTTTTGTATGTGACGCGAGTTTTATTCGAGAACTAGATTGGACGAGTTCTGCACTTAATACAATGTTTTCTGGGGAGCGGAGAGGTTGGTTTAGTATGAATATGAGGTGATATAATTCTTGGTTTTCGACAGTAACATTTTTTTAAAAGTATCACTGTATTACGACGCTATAACCTATGCCAGGGTAAGAATTTGAATGTTTAAAATGGAGTAAATAACAATCAATCCGTTGCTGCGATAATAAGTACAGGGAACAAGTACAGGATTACATTTAGTCTGCTTATCTGAACATATACATAACGTAATTAAAGTTCTAAACCATAATCTGCGCCTGATAATTAGGTATAAAGAAAAAAAGTTTTCATGTCCGGCCAATGTATATATGAAGAATTAATAAATAAAACAATACGAAAAAAATATTTCAATAAGACTTATTTAACATTTTTCTCGTTCAATATTAAAAGCAAATCTTGTTATTTGTAGTATTAATGTGGTCAAACAGTGTCTTCGGGAAAAAAAAAAAAAAAAAAAAAAAAAAAAAAAAAAAAAAAAAAAAAAAAAAAAAAAAAAGGGGGGGGTTTTTTTGAAAAAATGGGGGGGGGAAATTTTTAAAAAACCCCCGGGGGGGGGGAAAGGAAAAAAAAAAAAAATTGGGGGTTAAAACGGGGGGGGGGTTTTTTTAAAATTGGGGGGGGGGAAAATTTTTTTTTATTACTAATTCAGTAATTGTATTTTCATTGCAATGTGATATTCTTGTTAAATTTCTGTCTCTTTAAGGGGATCCAAAGTTAAATTTAAACCATATACACCCTATATAATAAAAAAACCACCTAAACTGTGATTCCCATTGATTCTATTAACCAGTCTGGCTGATCAGGACACAATGGGAGTCCCCTTCCAGCAACGACCGGCTAGCTGCAGTAGACCGAAAAATGCAGTTAACCAGACATTTTGCACTTTTTACCGAATGTACATTCCGTCCAACTTAATGTGTTTCTATACAAATTCAGAACCTCAACGACACAATGCTATTTCTATAATGTTAAGAAAAACTAAGTAATTATTTATATAATAACACAACTACAAACATAGGTATGTAATATAACAATCTCTCGGTACATTAAATAGATTACATATTAACAGAATATAGAATATTAGCTGTTGACGCGACTTCGTCTGCATAGAATAGTAATTTTCGGTCTCAAAATTTGGTTTTGCAAACCTCCTTATAAATTTAACTGTTACCCCCACGACGGCCCCGCGTCCCGTCGTTCTTGCAAGTTAATCTTAAAAGATAGTCATATACTGTCGTGACCATTTTTAAAGATAATTAAAAGATTGTTTCTTACTATTTTTGCATATCTTGAACCGTTTTCGCAACGTTTGCATCGGAAACCTACAAGGACTAATAAAATTTTAAATAAAACACTTTAACGTATTAAAACGCGATATATTAGTTAAACTTATTTGGAAATGATTTAACTTCGGCCCGACGTTTCGGATGCTTTGCAGCAGCCGTGGTCACGGGGAGACTGCTGCTGCCACCACGCGTTTTAAACCGTTAAAGTGTTTTATTTAAATGTGTACTACTCGCGTAAACTATAGACAGTAACTAATGAAATTCATTACTACATTAGCCTTCATCGATAAAGGTTCTAACTAACATAACATTTAATTAGAACAAAAATGATTAGCACATTCAAACAGAGAAAAAAACTTTTCAGCTTTATATATTAGTATAGATAGATTATATATATTATTTTCATTTCAATTTCTCAGTCCGTGCATATAGATGTCTCTACGTACACGCTGCTATATCAAGGTAGGGCACGGATCGTTTCGTTGTTTTCACCAATGGAACCTTTGCTTTCGGCTGTTATTTACTCATGATTTGTTACCCCTACTTCCCTACCACGAAAATCTTAAAAAAAAACCATGCCTGAGGTTCTGTGATAATAATAAAGATATAGTTACGTAATATTAAGTAAAGCTTTTTATTTAAGCTTTATATATAAACAGACTTAAAAACTTCTAAATTTATTTCCTCATATACATATGAAATTGGAAAAATACTCCCACGAAAATCACTTAAAGTATTCCTAAGTCACTAATCCCGGAAAATCGGGGGATGAAGGCACGAATATTGAATGTTATCGATCAACAGGAGACTAAAAATAAAAAGGCATTAGCGTCAAATTTGAATTTTATGAGGGCTTTCCATCTCGGGACATTCCGATGAAGCCGTGCTAACTTAATGATGGTAAAATAAGGATTATAGCAACGTGGGTAGCTTTTTGTATTCGTCCATTCAATATATTATTTGTATTGTATTTCATTTTATTTAAACTGTTCGATATAATATATCTTATAGATTTGAAATTGATTAAAACGCGACTTATAAGAATATGAGATCATTATCTATCTATTAAACAGAAACAGTCTGTCTAGGCTTCGTGTCCCGCTTTTAAAATAAACATTCTAAATCAAAGTTAGGTAAACAGATCGGTATCTGGACGCCTGAGCTCTGACATTTGATGCCACGGTCGGGCGCTACGGGTCACACTGAGCGTGTACTTCCGCCGGAAATGAATCAAATTTCCTCCACTTGACGCGCCGGATTGCCATC